AAAATGTTCTCGTTAAGTTTTCCAATTTAAAATACTTTCTCATTAATTTTTTTTGACAACCATCAAAAACAGAAAACTATCCACTGCCTTAAAAAAATACTTAAATTTGTTTTCGAAATGCACATGTTGCATGTAGCGTGCACTGATCTGGTCTTAGAAATTAACGGGACCGTTATATAATCATCTTCCATTTTTCTTTATTTTTTTTCCGCGTGATCAAAACGCTAATTTAGAAGGTAATCATATTATAATTCTCATTTTAATAAACCGATTAATTTTCCAGTAAATATTAGCCCGCCTTTTGGCCCGGCCCAAGATGAACTCTCACCGCTGCACGCAAAGGTATAAGTAGAATTTCAGTATTTGCTTTCCCCTTGAAAGCTCGAGATTCCTCGCGATCACATCGGTTTTCCTTCGTCCATGTGAGCGGAGCCATGGGGAGGAGGAGAACTGGTGATTGCAGAAAGAGAACCGGCGGTTCAGATCCGCGAAAGAGCGAAGTCGAGGAGGCGGTCGACCGGATCAGCGGCTTGCCCGACTCGCTCCTCCTCCACATACTCTCCTTCCTGCCAATCAGGTGCGCCGTCCGCACGTCGTTGATGCTCCCGCCGTTCCGTGGCCTCTGGAGATCTCTGCCCAGCCTGTCTTTCGAAGAGTGCGATTTTCATTGCTGCAGTCGCGGCCTTCCTGGAGCCGGTGGCGTCGATGGGCTCTCGAATTTCGTCGACCATGTGTTGGCCCTGCACGAGAGCTGCGAAGTCGATAGATTCCGAATTGAGTTGGATTTCCATATGAATGCCCCCGTTAACCCCGAGTCTGTCGTTTATAATAGTGAAGTGGCAAATAGATTGGATGAGTGGATATGCGCCGCGCTGAAGAAAAAGGTGAAGGCCCTTGATGTTGCCCTAGTTGGGTGTGGTGGGCCACTGAAAGCACCGCCATTATAGGATGCCGAGCGCCCTTGTTAATAATAGCCTCGTTGAGCTCTGTTTGCATGTCTGTAATCTCGAATCGCTCGGACAGATTCAGTTGAGGTCGCTTCGAAAGTTATCTTTGTGGGATGTCAATTTGAGCGACGAGGTGATGCGCAATCTTGTCTCGGGTAGCCCGTCGCTGAAGAAGGTGTCTTTCATGGATTGCCATGGCCTACAAGTTTTAAAGATAGTCACCCGTCGCTCGAAGAATTGAATGTATGCTTTTGTCATGGCCTGCAAGAGATTGATCTTGCTCGATCGGGCATCAAAATATTTGCAGTCGCTATTACTCATCCGTTGAGGAAGACAACCTGCCCGAATGTCGTGCCGCTCGAACTGGATGCTTCGATAAAGGAAGTGAATATTACATGCGGATCTTCCGTAAATGATATGGCCTTCTATATCAGGAGGGGATTTAATGGTGCGTTTCAAGGATATCCTGAGGTCAAAACGCTACTGGAGAAGGTCCATAACGCTGCATACTTTACTCTGTGCAATTGGAGTGTACTGGTAGGTTTCCATCCTTTCTAAATGATTTGAAGTTGCTGAGTAGTTTTAGCTTGATATCTATATTTAAAGGCGAGTTGAGCGTGGCACCAGTTGAGTTGATGCGAGACTTATTTGTTTAGTTTGTCCACTGAACTTTACTATTGGCTTAACCGTGGCCCTTTTTTTTTTTCATGTGTTATAAATTTGTCATTGCATTTTTCTCATCTTTGGCTCCATACAAGTATTTGTGTTCTTCTTCTTCTTCCAAATTCTGCAGCTACATGTTGCCATTTAATATGAATCTATCTCTTTATATTGTCCTGCTTTCTTGTCAAAATTTATCTACTCATTTGTCATCAGCTAGTTTGAGTAGCATCGGGGATAGATTTTTTATGTCATTAATTCAGTATGAGATGTCAATCTCGAATCAACCGGTGGAAGATCCTAATATCTTTTCTTGTTCGTTTGAGGGACGGATGGCATTGGTTTTTCCCTGTGGTCTTTTAAAGTCTTTACTCTGTGTCAACTCATTACGTGTTTGACGGACAACTTAGCATATTGCTGGGGCTTCCTGTCAGCTAAAATTCAATCTTGTTGCTTTGGTTGTGGGCTATTTTTGTGGAATTATAGCAGTTTGATGTCTGTGTTGATAAAAGTCTGAATCTAATCCTGTATATTTGTTAAAGGAAGGTTTTGTTTATTTTATATATTTTATCCGACTTAGTTAGAGGAGGCATAGTTTTTGTTAATTGCTGTATGTTTCTAATTTAGTTTAATCATCACAACATCGAGCATTATTGAGTAGATGCTCCTCCAATGGTTCTCTTGTTTCTTCAATCTCCAGGTCTTCAGCATATGGAAGCTAACGAATCAACCACGCCCATCTTTCAACTGGAAGTCCGTGACAACGACACTTAATTTAGCCAAGTGGCACCTCCCTGGGATTTCTTACCTACTAGAGACTTGCAATTTTCTGGAGACACTCACCATATATGTTTATAAAAAAAATCCCAATTAACGATATTGAGGTGCGCTTTACTCTACAGTGCTGCATGAATAACGAATATCTTTCTCTAATGACAAATATATGTTTACTTCCATAGAGAACAATGGCCACCTCTTCATTACACGGATTAATTTTTGAACCCATTTATAAATTTCGTTAAGTATATCAGCTTTCAGACTTTCAGACTGAATTATGGACATTGGATATCAGAAACATATTTCTTTTGGAAATTAAAGCTATTTGATTTACTGATGCTTGATCATTGCACTTTGTTTGGCTATTTGTCAGTTAAAAAAGTGGAAGCGGAAGCGAGCACGTAATTTTAATGGGAGGAGATACTGGAATTCAATTGATGGTACATTCCATTGCCTAAAACACCACCTCAAGAACGTGATGATATATGCATGCGTGACCGAACCGTACGTAATCGAGTTAATTAAGTTTCTACTTGGGAATGCCCTGATTTTGGAGAAAATGGTGATCTCCACGAAAAAGAAAACCGGAGTCACTCGAAATGGGGAATCACATTACTTTGACGTCGCCCCAGAAGAGGACTTTACAGATGTGCTCGTTGGATTCTCGAAGAAGGTTTTCAGTTTCCCAAGAATCTCTCCCCGTGCTGTAGACTGTAGTACACATAGATTGAGTACACGAATATGGTTCTCTCGAGTATTTGCTTCTTTACTTGCTTCTTTACCTTTTTGTAGATATTATGATAGCAGGTCACGTCTCTATCCTTAGTTAGCATTTTCTCTTACTCCCATTGATGAATTCAATAGTCCATCATTGGACACAAAACTTGATGAAGTCTGTATTTCATTTTGGTTGGCTTATATGCTTTGCTTTTTCTCCAAGCCACTATTGCTCTCGTCGTAAATCCTCCAAAGTTTGAAGTAGGTGATGCAGGAATTGCTGCTATAAAGTTGTATATTCGTCTGGATCGATAGCGGCAGTGACAATCCGTAAGTAATATATGCTTAGGCCATCCTTGTTTGCCCAGAGGATGTACTTTACTTTAGCTTTTGCATTTTCATGGTGCACTGTATTACATTTTTGTATTAGACTTGATGAGTGCTGAATTTGACCCGGTGCCTAGCCATTGTTGCAGAGTGAATAATCCTTTGGCTATCGGCCGTCATTAAGTACATGATCTCTATTCAGCAGCTTGGGTTGGAACGGGCCGATCTACAGTGTTGGTTTCACTTGTTCAATTTGGATCAAACCACTTTGGTCCGTTTTTCTTTTCCCTTCTTTTGAACATAATGGATGAATAGAAATGTTATGAGTTGAAAAAGTCGTTCAACGCTTATGACACATGTAGATGGTTCAAAATGTTAAATGAATCTCAACACTAGAGGATTTAAGTTCGATAAACAATCTAAGATAGACAATGCGCGCGTGTCATTGACCGATACTCGAAATCGCAACTGTCACTCAAACAGACGGGTCATGGATTGATACTCGAAATTGCAACCATCACTGAGACAAACGAGCTCACCTTTTACATTTAAACATTAGAGATTTAACTTTTTCATCTATTGGCAACCATGTTCAACTATGAACATTAAAAAATATGGTGGGTATAATTACCAAAACTACGCAACGATGTTACAGAGGTCCAAAGAAGATCCAAGAGCGTTTTATCACTATTGATTATAAAAAAAAAGCTTAATTAATGGGTTTTAAATCTTTTTAAGATAGCGAGAATAACTTTCACCTTTTACCCTGTTACTTAATTTAAATGTTAGGACAAACATACTCAGACTATTTTGTAATAAGAAACATCCTAATGTTTTGCAATATATACATATAATATTGGGTTTTGACATAATAGTAAAAAGAATAGAAACAAACATGCTAGGACTCAAACAAGACTTAATTGCTAAACTAGGTATCGAAGAAAAGAGTTTAGGTTAGTAGTGGTAAGATCTGAAAGCCCGACGCTTAGCTAAGCATGGATTTCTGACCACATTCTCCATAAGGGCCTCTTACCTCTTCCTCTCTTGGTTCAATTATCACTTCCTATTGAAGCGGAGGGGCTAACGCAGCACAGAATCCTTTTCCTTCTGATGTCAACTTCTTATCTTATTCCGCTTGGGCTGTACCTTGTACTCGAGTTCAAGTCAATAGTCGAGTCAGGGTAGGCGGAGCTGGATACTGAGAAAGATCAAGGAGCCCGGTCCGGATGTAAACGATTTTTTTATGTATGTCTCGCATCTTTCAGCTCCGTGCGGGATTCAAAGAAAGAAAGAAATGAGAAATCGTTTTGATTCAAGGCGGATCCTTTTTTGTTTTGCGTACACATACGATATTGGGTTTTAACAGAATAGTAAAAAGAACGGAAACAAACATGATGGGTCCCACGCCACCATCCGATCCGGCCCTTTCGATAAGCCAAAGCCACCGATCTCCCGCTCACCCCTCCACTAGCCAGCAAATCTTGACCGCAGATTCTGGCCATCATCTACGGCCAGGATAAAAAGTACCCAAAAGGAAAAAATCCTGCATAATTAAAAGTATCGTCGAAAAGAAAGAGTGGACCATTTCCACCGAATCGGGTCGGACTCGGACTACTTGAATCTTTCAATGGGTTCTCTGAGCGGCGGCGGCGGCCATGGCGGGCTGTGGGGGTGGAAGGGTCCCTGGAGGAACGAGGGATCGTCGCGGCGTCCTCGTCGGAGGAGCTCGAACCCCTCGGATTCCGCGGAGCCGGCCGGGAGCGTCGCTCGCCGGTTCCCCCTCAAGCAGGCGGCGACGGCGGGCTCGCTCGCTCTCGCCGGCGACACGATAGCTCAGGTCAGGGAGCGCCTGAGGAGGAAGAGGGGGGAGGGCGGGTCGGCGGGACCTGCCTCGCCTGGACCGGACGCTGATGGTGCTCGCGAGGTCGGTGTCTGGTTACGAATGTTTTCTTGTTCGCCGAATGACTGTGTTGTTGTGCGCATTCTCTTGGATTGTGTGCTGATAATTCAGCAATATATGCAGTGTTCTGATAGAGGCGTGATTGACTGTCTGCTTGACTGTTAGTTCAGGGAATGTGCTGGGGGTGGTTTGTTTCTAGTTCCTCGTTTTCTCTTGCTTGACTGTCTTCTTTTGAATTCATCAGAAAGGAAGAAGGTTATTGATGTGTCTTCTGACATGACTGGCTAGCTGGTATTGCCTGCAGAGAAGAAAAAAAATTGTGATCCTGAATGAAATAGCTGATCATTATTGCCTTAGATTGTAGGGGAAAAGGTGGGCAAATGATCTCCACTTTAGGTGTTATGGCCTTTCTTCTACATCATTCGCATTTCACGGGGCAATTCTTGTACCAACTTCTAGTGTTTGGAGATAGCACTGGAAGAGTGTAGCAAGTGGTTGGTGTCATGTTCACTAGTTTTGAAGTGGTCTAGGCGTTTCAATGCAAGATACTAGTGCACAGTTGATTGGAACTATTTGAGAACCGGTGGTGCTTTTATGTTTGATACTTGACTATCTAGATATTAGATTAATACATGAAGTGGTCTTGCGGTGTACTACTATCCACTGTGCAGTTGAGCTTGCCAGATTCACCACTTTAAGGTGCTACTGCTTAAGTTTTGTAAGAGTCGTATGGTGTTGATGGGCAAATCAAGTGCCACTTACTCTAAATTAACACTGCTTATGATTCAAAGAAGTTGATTTCCGGCTGTGGTCAAATAGGTTTTTTAGTTGAGCTGCAGCTGGAGCCATTTTGTGCCGTACTAGTGAATTTTTCATCTTTTCACGCATCGATTAGAATCGGGGTTGACTTCCATTGAGGTTTAAGTTTGAAATGTCATAAATCATACCCTAGAGCCTGGCCATGTCTCTTGTGGTTACAATTCTTCCACTTGTGCCAATTTTCTCATCTTGTGCAGAGCATACTAGTTAATCTCTCCCTGTCTCTCTGTGAGTCTTTTGGGTTGAAAGCTTTTCTATAAGTATGAGTTCACCGATTGTTTTTTCTACGTTCCAAAATGTCTTGTAAAATTGGAAGAGGATAATAAGTTTGAGAAGTCTGTGAACTGCTAAGTTTGCTTTCCTTAAAGAGAGGAAAAGATCTGTATACTCACGTTGGTTTGGTTCCTTTTCTCGTTTAGGAGGTAGATTTTTTCTTTTCAAAAGGTGGTAATATTTAAGGCTGAGGTGGTGCGTTCTTTTTGTCGGCAACTGTATCCTTTCATGGGGGTCGAATGTTTTTTGTTGTTCTGTTGAAGTTTTAATGCTTGGTTTGGTTTTTAAAGTATCTGTGTTTAAATTTTGACCCAAAGCTATGGCACAGGACATCATTCCCATTCTTATTTCAGATCATGACTGGTTTCGGGCCCTACGCATGACCTCTTATGGATTCCTTTTGTATGGCCCCGGTTCTTATGTCTGGTATCAGTTTCTTGATCAAACTTTGCCTAAGCCAACAGTTGAGAACTTGATGCTGAAGGTACAATCAGTTTCCTACAATGTTCATATATATTTGGCGACAAAACGTAAGAGCTTAATCTTTTAACTTACATTTTGCTTGCAGGTATTGTTGAACCAAATCGTGCTTGGCCCTACAGTTATTGCAATTGTTTTTGCTTGGAACAACTTATGGCAAGGGAAGTTATCTGACCTTCCTAAAAAATATCAAAAAGATGCTCTTCCCACACTACTCTATGGTAAAGTTCTCTTCAATCTTCAAAGCTGTTTTTGTTGATCGATCCCAGGTAAAATCAAGTATTAGCCATGTCCCTCATCGTTGCAGGATTTAGGTTCTGGATCCCTGTCAGTGCATTGAATTTCTGGTATGTTCCTTTTTACGCATTTCTGGCATTTCCATGATGTTTCCTGACTAGAGATGTGAGAAACTTGTTTAAGTAGATAGGAGCTCTTTCTCAGTAAACCTGTTGGATGAATCCACGGTTGTCAAATTTCACATGGTTTTAGAGGCGCTGTAGCTTGGAGGCAGGAGAAAAAATGCTGTTGTTTTCAAGTTTATATTTTCATGCCACTCCTATCTGGGTTAATTGTTTCAAAAGTCTTGGAGTACTTGGATAGTCGGGTAGATCTGGTATGAAATGATGCATCTTATACATGTCACTGACCTCAGTTAATGGGAAAGGGCTGTGGCGGTTGTTTGGAGTTTTTGTTTGGCTTTTAGGATTTGGTGTTGCAATATTTTTTTTTCTTTGATATACCACCGAGGCATTCTTTTGGCATTGTGGAGAAAAAATTTGAAACAACTTTCAATTCCTTTTTCTCTGGCAGACTTTCCAGCTTTCTTCTTATTATGTAGAAAAGCTTGTGCTTCATTGACACATTCTGCTAACATATTTGGCATGCTAATAGGGTGGTTCCACTTCAAGCCCGTGTAGCTTTCATGTCCATGGGCTCCATCTTCTGGAACTTCTGCTTGTCTTCCACCATGAGCAAGTAGCTGTTGTCTTCTCTGGAAATTGAAGCTGTGGCTTCAGTTCTGATGTGCTGTTCATCGGTTAACTGAAGACTTCGGAATTGGTAGAATTCCATCCCAAAGCTTCGTACGGACAAGAGTCCTTGGTTTGATCTCTACGTTGCCTGCTTATTGAACCTTTCTTGGCTCATCCAGATTGTACCAGTCAATGGGATCCTGTAAACAATGTTTACTGCCCAATATCTCATCTAATTGCGGGATTTGGTGTTCAGTTTACAAGAGGTAAAATTGAACTGTCATTAAAATTCAGGTAAAATTCTGGTGCTTGATTTCGGCAGCTTCAAGCTATGGATAAAGCGTTCCTCCCATCTAAGCGTTCCATTCAAGCTTGATGCTCGAACATAATTGGACAGAGATGCGTGAATAAAAGATGCTACTATGGGTCTTTTCCTAGTCACCTATATATATCACTAACTCACTGTCTTTTGCTTGTTCCTGATGTTGGTAAATTTCTAAAAACAGTGATAAGATTCAACTAATGTTTGTAGAAGGATAACGTCACCGGCGAATTGCTTGTGCTATAGCTTTTTAGTAAGTTTCCATTAACTTATATCAAATTATTGACATTTATTTGATTTTTTCAAAATTACAAACTCTTACAATAAACTAATATTGACGTTAAAGCGGTAGTATTTCTTATTCATTTTCATTAAGTATAATTTTTACGTATATTTTTCAAAATTACAAACTCTTACAATAAACTACAGGAAAGTGGCTATTTCAAAAGTTTCTAGCATGTTTCGTTCTCTTAGGAGTTGGTAGGAGTCATTGGTCAACTTTGCAAAACCCCTATTCACTCTGTTTCTTTCTTCTTGATTGGTCAATTTCGGCTAAATTTACATGTGGGACCTTGCCTTGACCAATTCCTTTTTTAATTAATGAACTCGTATAGGAGGAGTTTTGAGCGACAGCTATTTGATTCTATCCATAAATCGATTTTCTTCCCAATTGAATGTGCCTATGATTCGTTTATTTACCGAACATTACTATTCGAGACGTTACCCATCAGCAAATTTATCGTGTATATTAACAACATGTGACAACACTTTTTCTCTAAATGCTGTACATACATGCATGATATTCGAAGGACGCTAGTAAGGAAATTTGATTTCTCTTTGGCAATCTGAGAATGTAAAAACCTTTTAAAAATCAATTTCTTTCTTAGTATAACAACACGGCTAATTATCATGCTATGAGTGTAGTACCGAATATATTGTGTTCCATTTTTACTTAGGTTTTCGCTTTATATAAAACATCTATCTACTTTAAAAAAGTCGCGAATTCTTTTTGGGACTCAAATCAAATAGATCGATCTATCAAGATAATAGTGGCAAGAATATATGATTTAAATATGTTAAGAAGTGTTTATAGGGTTATCACAATTTAGTCTTCATTGCTCTAGAAGTTAAGATCGAATAAGAATATCTAATATTAACTCCAATAACTAGAGTATACTACTTATTACGTAATCCATTGGAGATGTTGAGATTTCATTGTTATTCAGCTCTTAATATCTCATGCAACGCACGAGTTCAATTCTAGTCGTTAGCAAATACGCGCACGCAAGAAATTGACATCAACCATTAAGCAAACTCTCTCCATGATAAAACATTGGAATCGTCGAATAACCGAAAGAAAATAGCGGTGGAAAAACTCAATGTAAATAATTCGTATAAATACATGGCGAGAGAGTAAAAAAAAATCTCAAAATTCGAAATCTCCTTAGTTGTAAGATCGAAAATGTCCAAATTTCAGCGTCGTCCACGCATAGGATCTTCCGTAAAATTAAGTAATAATTAAGTATTTGAAGGAAGAAAAAAAGAAAGGCGATCTTGGCCCTTGAAAAAGGAGGAGATTCTCCATGGTTTTACACAATTAAAAAAAAAAAATGGACGATCGATGTTAAAAATTAGGAGATGCTAAGGAACAATCGAAAGCAAAAGGTCCCCCAACTAGTTTTTACTAGTCACAGCTCAAACCTAAGCCCAAAAAAAACCATAAACAATTAAACATGCCTCCTCCTCCTCCATCGGTAACTTTCGGTACCCCAGAATCATTTTCCTAGATTGTAGCCCGACCCGACAACCGTCTCCCAACCTTATTCTCCCCAAAAGATTTTCAAATCGGTCCCAAACCCGGCCGAGCGATTCGCCATCGTCTTCTTCCTGCTTGAGAGGGAAGGTTTCTTTCTTTTGCTTTTCATGGCGGGGTACAAAGCCGACGAGGAGTACGACTACCTCTTCAAGCTGGTGCTGATCGGCGACTCCGGCGTCGGCAAGTCCAACCTGCTGTCCCGGTTCACCAGGAACGAGTTCAACCTCGAGTCCAAGTCCACCATCGGGGTCGAGTTCGCCAACAAGAGCCTGCACGTCGACGGCAAGGTCGTCAAGGCTCAGATTTGGGACACCGCCGGCCAAGAAAGGTTCTCGATCGAACTTCTTCCCCTGTTTTGGGTTTTGGTTTTCCGAAGGTCTCGATTCTCTGTGGGTGCGGATTCTTTTCTTCGGCCGGGTTTTCGAAGGGCGGCTCTGGGTGTGGATGCGTGTTTCGCTAGGCTATCGCGTTCTTGAGGAGTGGATACGGTTTCTCTAGTCTTGCTAGGTTTAAGGTTTTTACGGTGGGACTGTTATGTATGGACTCTTAGCATACGTTGGAATATAGAGCTTGAGAGATGATGGTGCTTCTAGGCGAGGCGATTGTATCTCTAGTTCTGAAGGCTCTTTGAGCTGAGTTTTGATATGGTGCTGTGCTTGCGATGGCGAAATTCTTGGTTCTTACACGAATGAGGACTTAGATGTATGTGATTTGGTTCTTGCAGATTTAGTGATCTACTGAACTCGTGATCTGTACGTGGTCCACTAGTTGCAGTTCTATTGTGTGCTAAACCTAGCATGAGGTTTGAAGTGCTTAAAGAAATGTTTGTGGTCTAAGTATCCCGTCTGTCTGCTTTGCTTTCTGTGTTTTCCCAGGGATTCATTTGAAAGGTTCATCAAACATTTGTTTCCAAATTCGATATTTATGAATAAAATTATCTTCGGGATCGCTTTTGATAGTACCACACTGAAATGATGATTGGGTCATCGAGTGAACCTTTCCCGCTATTAGAAATCCGCTACCTAATTTTTCACCGGAACATCAGCGGCAAAATGAAGCATGTGCATCATCCCGTGCCCCATGATTTTGCAAGTTTAATAATTGGCTGCCGATTTCATGTTTCATGTTTGTTTTTCTCTTACTCGTTCTACCGGTAGTTTTACTAGCGTCGTTAGAAAGTGAGATCCTTTTGAAACATGGTGCTAATTCTGATTCATAGTGCTGCCGGTAGTCAAGAACGCTGATGTTTGCTTTGTGGAAGCTGGCTCTGATTTCTTTTTCCAGAGGACCTTTATGTAATGGATTTTTACTATTTTTAAGGTGCCTTACCCCAAAAATGTGTCTGAGATTTTATTCCCGATTCACTTAGAGCTAGCAAAGTGCCTGGACAAGAAATTGTGTTAAGTAGATCTAGTTCGTCCATTTCTTTCTCAACAGACTTGGCATGTGGTGGAGCTCGTTCCCAAGTTTTAGTTTAATTTTGCGTTTATTTTTTTACCTTTGGAGAATATCTTGTTTTCTTGATGAACTTATTTATCTTCGGTTTGGAAGTAGGGCCTAGTCTTTAATAGAGGAAGTTTTGTGGATATACAAATTTTACTTGCAACTTGGAAATGGAATGCAAAAAAAGGAAAGGGAGAGCAAGAAAAGTCCAGCAAATTGCTTGTTACTTTAGCTATACATGTATGATGTTACCATGAAAGCCTTATCTTCATTTATGGCATCTCGGAGTTGGAAATTTGACAGTGGAAATAAGTCGAACTGAAAGCATCCTGTGGCAAATTTAGTTTAAAGATCTTGATTTGATATTGCAAAATAAGCTCGAGGCTCATGTGATGATGCAATTTCCAAACGGGGAAACAAACTCATGTTCAAGCAAAATGAGTTTGTTTGGAGATCTTTTGACCTTTTCTGACCTCTGAGTAGTCTTACAAGTTACATCGGCAAGCTGTGGATAGCTAGAAGTTCCCTTCAAGGATTATTTCGGTTGTACTCATGTCTGAAGTTGCCTTGCATGGTCAACAGAAAAAATGCCATTGGTCTTTTGAGGATACGAAGTTGGAATTTTAGTCAACAAAAAATTTTGTCACTTGACACTAACATTAAATGATCCTGTATGCCTGTTTGCTTGGTAGTTGGAGGATAGACGTACTTTGCGTTTGTTGAGTGGACTGATGAAAGATGGTGCATTGAAGTTTAGTGTGAATGCTGGAAGGAAGATTCAACTAGTATGAATGATATCTGATGCGTGCTCTAAGTTTCCTCTTTTCGTTAGGAGGGAATAGGCGCGTCATTTATCTTCACAATAGCATGACTTCCTGGTTAGTTTGTGACCTTGAGAGTTTAGTTAGTGTTGGAAGTTTGCAAGAGCTTAACGGGCGGATTAAAACCCAAACTTGATTCAACTTTGCATCAAAGATGCCTGAAAGAGAATTACGGAATCTGATTTTACTTCTCGCACATCTTCTTACTGAAACAGTGAGCATCTGACTAGAGGTCACACAACCTATGTGATGAGCATTCACCAGATTTATTTGTTTCTCCAGCAATGAAGAAAACAATGTGAAAGGTAATGTATTGCATAATTAACATCTTATGATAACAAAACCATTCCATGTACCGTCGCGTTTGCTGGTGATGTAGGTGGGATTTATGTGTTGGACTGTGCTGTGAATGTTTTTATTATCACCGAATGTATTGAGTTCAATTGTTCAACTTCTCAGGTACCGTGCCATCACTAGTGCTTACTATAGAGGAGCTGTTGGCGCTTTACTTGTGTATGACGTCACCAGGCGTGCGACTTTTGAGAACGTTGGAAGGTGGCTGAGGGAGCTGAGGGACCACACCGACCCCAATATCGTGGTTATGCTCATTGGCAACAAGTCTGATCTCCGCCATCTTGTGGCAGTCCCACAGGATGACGGGAAGTCATTTGCTGAGAATGAGTCACTCTATTTCATGGAGACTTCCGCATTGGACGCGACCAATGTGGAAGCAGCATTTGCCGAAGTTCTTAGTCAGATTTATCGGATTGTGAGCAAGAAAGCAGTCGAAGCAGGTGACAACCCAGGTGTTTCTTCTGTTCCGGGTCAGGGACAAACGATCAATGTCAAAGAAGACGGGTCTGTTTTTAAGAGGATTGGATGCTGCTCTAGTTAAGGAGGGTTTCTTTAGCTGCTTGTTGCTAGTAGGGAGGGTCTGCTAAGTGCTACCTCTGTGTATATTTTTTCTTACACAAAATGTCCTCGGATATAAATTGGTGTGGGAATTGTTGATGCAGGAATTCTGGAAAGTGGGTCTAAAACTAGTCAGGCCAGTTGAATTTGATAACTAGGTCGAATTTTGTTTTGGTCGGATTGAAATGATGGTATTCTGATGGTGACATCATATTAACCAATACATTCCTGATTATTGCTCCGATGAGTCGAAATTGAAAGCAATTTCGCTTGGATATTGTTGCAATGCAAGTGCAAAACCCATAATCTTTTGTTGTTACAGCAAAATCTAGAGGTACATAATGAACATAAATGTTATTTGTTGTCTGTAGTAGGATAAGATTGAAAGCATTCTCATTTTTCAGCATCTCCTCAGATCACGTAACGATCTTTATAGTTTGCAATTCTCATTTCGCTGAAAGAGATTGTTTGTGCGGGAGAAACTGTGTTGTTTCTTATGTGGTGCATGATCTGTGCTGATGGTGCAGAAGAAACTGTCTTTTCTTGTGGTGCATGATCCGCGCCGAGTCGATCAATTCAGATCCCTTGATTGTATGGCCAAAACCTGTGCTATGCTACATTGCCAAGCCAACGCAGGGAACCGCACTCAGAAGCGCCCCAGGCTCTCCCTCTTTGGTTCGACATACTTGGTTCACCGGAAAACCAAGTAGCACTCTGGCAACTCTCCCAAATCAGTGAATAGTGGACCTATCGCGACCTCCTCGTCCCTTATTCTATATCCAGGCGCCGCATCAGCATCTCCCCTTGTAAACTGACCTCTGTAAGAACGATGATGTTGAAGTCACGTCAGCGAGCCAGTCGAGCAAAGGGGCATCACCGTCGCCGACAAAGGCCGAGAGCTCGTCCGTCTCAAACATGTGGAGGGGTAACCGTTGGCATTGGTGGGGGAGGCGGTGGATTCGCTGCCGGTGGAGGTGGGATGTAGGTGGTGGTGGTGGTTCTTGGGGGAGAGCCCATTCCAAACAAATGCCGAGGGACCATTCGTCAAACTTACGGTGTTGATAATTACTTCCGTTTCTCTTTAGACAAATCTGCATACATGCCAATGACCCCTCCATGGCTGGCAAGTAGCGGCTCTCCCATGAGAGGGCGGGGAAGATAGATTTGGTACCGTGCCACATTTTACACTATATTTTTCTTTTTCTTTTTTATTTTGATTTTACGATAACCTTGCGCTTGATTTTGTATTGTTCAATATTGTACCCTATAATCTCACATTTCACGACGCTTTTGTGCTTAATTAGGACGGGTCATAGATGTTGCAAGCGGTACAGTATTATAAAGTTGAAAATCTCGATAGACTCGTTTCATAAATTGCAAATAGAGATATAAATGGCTCATGTCTCCACCTCGAATATCACTTGTGATCATGCCCCACAACAACGGACATACCATGAGAGATCAGATAGACAAACCGTGACAAATGAGTGGGGAGATTAGCATTGGAGCCAAGATTTAGCACAACATTTTGGACGCCTCACACCCGCGATTATCATTCATAATCATGGATACATGCCAAAACACAAAGCCAAGGACGATTCGAAAATGAGCGGACAGGAGATGCAGATTCGATCTCACAAACAATGAAACACAACTAGAATCTGGACTCTGCACTAATGAAGCAACCAATCCGCATCAACACGTTCTCAAACGACACAAAAATCGTGGGATATTACGGAATGTGTCATAGAGGCATTTCATCAAACATTCCGCATGCATCAACCGAGAAGAATATATCCACCCATCCAAGACTTGAACTCACACTGAGACCCATAACAATCAACAACGACATTTAAAATCACAGAGCAAAGCACAGACGAGGCCGGAGTGCACGAGAACCTATGTAGTGTCGGAATGAGGTCTGGCCGAATATACTTACCGATGGAGAGAATGGTCGCAAGGTTGGTGGTGGTGAATGCAGTTGTCGGACGGAATGGTGGAGAAGAAGACGTTCAGAAGTTGTTTTTCGGATGGACCTCCAGGCGTATAAAGGCCTAAAGTGCTCTCATTTTCTAAAGTGGACCTTGTGTCAAATAAGGACATGACGTGCCTGATCTCGCCGGTCCCAACTAAACATTCTTGCCGATCAAAGGCATTTTTGTCCAAAGATAATTTTAATTTTAAATTATTTTTTTCTTTTTTCTCGTTTCTTTTTTTTTCTTTCCAATGAGAGCCCTTGCTAGATCTAGGCAAGGGTCATTTCACAAAAAACCAGAAAAAGGAAAAAAGAAAAAAGGGAAAAAATTCAAAAAAGGTAAAAGGACGAAATGCCCTTAACCATCTGAAAAATCAAGCCCTTCTTTGAAAGGGACATAATCAATTCAGGCTCTGATTTGAAACAAGATCCACTTCAAACTCTTATTTGAGAAAATGAAGGTACTTCATGCTCTTAATTGAAATAATGTATACTTCAGGCTCTTATTTGTCAAAATGAGGCAGGCCCTTATTTGGAATTTTTCCAAAAAAAAAACCCCTTTCTCCTATTTTTTGTGCTGCCACTCCGACTCCCTTTTTCGGTATGACTCCAATCTTACGATGCCTCTAAACGGTGGATCGGCTCTTGAGATTTAAATTTCTTTAATTGGATATGAGCCATTCAAATTTTACCGTCCCTAAATCAAATGTCTAAAATAATATTAGAGACCAACGAAATTATAATAATAATAATTATTTTTAATTTTTCTTTCTTTCTTTTTTCAAAATTTGAAATCTAAAGGCCTAATTCCGCACGCCTATGCTGAATTGACATTTTATTATGCAATTGAAATACTAATGACACTAATCTAATTTTTGGTCAAGGAATGAGACTCGTCGTGATCAGGAATCTCGAACTTCAAATTTTCCAACTTAAACCAGCGGAAAAATTTAGGTGTCAACACAAGTAGCTTAGGGTATGATAATGTATTGTCAAGTAGATTGAGGAGACAAAGGTGAAGAGTCTCGAAGTATTTGAAATATCTTTTCTTCCCTTTTCAAAAAAGTAAAAAAAAATATTTTTTTTATAAAAAAATCAATTCCTCCCAAAAATAACAATAAAAATAATCAAGACATTCAAAAAAAAAAATTAAGGTCAAGAGGTATGTCTTGACTCAAGCATTTTGAAAATTCAATTGCATTTTCAAAAGTTCTCACTATAAGCTTTTTGTTGGAGTAAAAATTGAGTCAATTGAAAATCAAATGGACCACATTCGCATTTTAAAAATTGAATAGCATTTTTTAAAACTTCGGATCTCGTTTTGTTGATCAATTTATCACAGGTATATTCGTTTGGGATTTTTCGTAGTATTAACTCTAAAAAACCCTAAAACAACCTATTAGTTTTTCAAAAGTACGGTAACCTTTTAAAACTTATTCAAAGACACCCAACTTATATTTTTAATCAAATATAACCTTCTTTAGAAGATATTTGATTAGAAGAAAACAAAATTCCGTCAAACTTTATGATATTATCCAATTTAAAAAAAAAAGTATATACAGATTCACATGTTGTAAAGATATTTTAAGTGAAAAGTGAAAGTTTATGAACCACAAAGTTTAAAAAAGAAAAAAAGAAGAAGAAAAAACTCATTCTAGGTGTGACTTTATCATTTAAAATTCATAGATGAAAGTAATCGCGTGGAAAACGAAAAAATGTAACGAATTTATTCATAAAAATCTGACAAATCCCGCATCGAATGGCGATGCGATCGATATGTGGACGGCGTACCTGGATGGCAGGACATCGATATGTGGATGGCGTACCCGGATGGCAGGAAAGAGAGTATATGGCAGAGGACCGATGCGACATGGATATGCGGACGACGTACCTGGATGGCAGGAAAGAGAGTATACGCATCAACTCTTCACTATTAGCAATATTAGGATATTGACTTGATTATTATGGATATATCTTTTTTGATTGTGCATATTCTTGATTGATTATATTAGGTATTATGTTTGTCTTATTGTGCACGGTATTAAATTTCCTTATCCTTGTTCAAAAGTTCAAGAGGTATGTCTTCACTAATGCATTTTGAAGATTCAAAAGTTTTCATCACAAGCTTTTCGTTGATGTAAAAATCGAGTGAATTGAAAATCAGATGGACCAAATTCGCATTTAAAAAAATAAATATCATTTCAAAAGTTTGGATCACAAGTTTTTTGTTGGTGTAAAAATCGATTCAACTGGAGTTACAAGGGGTTAATGTTCGGTCAAATTTAGTACATGGAAGGAGAGTACTGTTTCACCATATTTCTTGCTTTTAGGAATGTAGGCTTTTTCCTATCGTGTCATGGAGTTGTGAATGAAGGCACTTTTCAATTAGTGACGGTGAGTCAATTCTTGTCATATAGATTGAGGAGAGAAATGTGTCAAAAAAAGTCATAAACTTTTTGCATTGATGTCAATTTAGTCCTAAACCTTTTAAATGATTTTGATATTGGAGACTTATTTCTAGAACAAATTTTTCATGTAGTCTCAGTTCGGTTTTATTGGTTATAGAGTACTTCTTCCGAAAAAAATTGGGTCAATGGCCAACATTTGCCTTAAAGGGCGCTATACCTACTCCTATTTTTTCTTTTTCAAACTTTGGCCGACAGAAGATAATGGTGCTGAGTGTAGGTTATATGGGGTTGGTTTGTCGACTTAATGCTGCAATGTATATGGGCTGGATTTTATTATACGATGGAGGTACCTTCTGTTGTCATATTATGCCCGAGTTTGCAGTTGAAGCATTGAAGTAGTGATCTTTTAACAAATGTGTAACAGTTCTTTTAAATAGACCTTTTATAGTGGTTTCTGAATTATTCACTTGTGCAGTGGAAACTCCAAAAAAATTGAGAGTGTTGGGGACACTTAAAATATTTGTCTATCTGTATTATTTTTTTGGAGAAGACATAGTGTTATGCCTCTCTATTGTCATTCCCAATTTAGTTTCTAAATAAAAGAAAGATGGTTAAAGTGTCGAGGACCTTAAGTACACTATTCTACTACTGAATATTGATTGGTAGACAAAAAATTTGGGGAACTTACAAACATATCACCGCCGAGATGTTGTTGATCTTGAAGGGGCTTTTTTAATACCTATGTGAAACCAAATTCTCAGGTGCCGTCACTATTTGGTGGACCTTCTGTTTGCATTAATGATGGAATTGGCATGAACCTGGCCATGCAGATATTATCGATATGGGGCCAACCTTCCTGATGATGATGATAATGAACAGATCCATCGGCGACATTTGCTTCCGTGTGAGGATGATCAGGAGGATGTTGATGATCTTGAAAGAAGGATTCAGGCAAGATATGCTAGGTCTGCTCATACTGAATATGATGAGGAGACGACGGATGTAGACCAGCAGGCTCTTTTGCCTTCTGTCTGGGATCCAAAGCTATGGATGGTGAAATGTGCGGTATGCCCTCCGTTGTTTGTAAATCGTAACTTTTTTTTCCCCAATTCCTTTTAAGTAGTTGGTATTCTTGATTCTTTGGTGAACCTGGAATGACATGATTCTTGTGTGGTACTTCATAGATTGGTCATGAGCGAGAGGCAGCTGTGTGCCTAATGCAGAAAGCCATTGATAAAGGACCTGAATTGCAAATTAGGTCAGCCATTGCACTTGACCATCTGAAAAATTACATATACATTGAAGCGGACAAAAAGGCCCATGTGAGGGAGGTAAGTTCTCTTGGGTATGTTGGTTCTTCAGGACCTGCTGAACTTCAGAGGTGTAGGCCAGTGATTGTCGTATGTTGTAAATAACCTGGACGCCTAGGTTTTTCCAGGCATGCAAAGGTCTGCGAAATTTATACTTGCGAGAAGTAATACTTGTCCCGATTAGAGAAATGACGGATGTCCTTTCAGTTGAAAGTAAGGCAATTGATCTTTCTAGGGACACATGGGTCCGAATGAAGATAGGGAAGTACAAAGGAAACCTTGCCAAAGTATGTTGGGGTTCATGTCAATTTAATTATTTTCATCTATGTTCTCCTCTCCTTTCGCTCCTGCCCCCCTCTCCCCGGGCCCTCTCCTCCTTTCGAAGGCAAAAGAAGTGTTACAACATACGACAATCACTAGAGTCATATTCATAGAGCCTAGAAACAGGACTAACAAACATAGTCGCTTCACGTTTTCTCCAAAAACAATCTTTGGCACATGGTATATCCTCAAAAAGAGTGACGATTTGGTCATGGCATAAACATAATATGATATAACTCAGTTGAGGGGCAAGTTCACCATAGCTATTGCGGCAACCATTGGCAAAGCCTGAGCATTCCAGGACTCCGGCACTGAAGAAATGGATGGCTAACCCACAAAGTTCTACGATCAAAGTTTCTGGCAGCAAAATCAAAGGACAAAGATGAGGGATGCAGGGTTTCATCCAAAGGGAACAATATTATAAGTAATTTCAGCTATAACATAACAGCTTGCATTTAACCCATCTAACTAGGACCGCAGTATATTTCTTTTTTATCTTGTGACATTCTTAGTTAATATAGAAGATGGCTATCATAAAGTTCTCTTTTACCAGAGAAAAAAGCTCACTTGAAGCAAGGGATTCTAAATGGGAGATTTGAGCTGTCCAGTCTTAGCGGGACAAGATTCGAGCAGTCCTAGTATGCATAAACTGCGCAGTTAAGATCGGAATGTGTATGCATCTGACGGATCACGCAGTTGATGTCAGTTAAAACTTCTCCACATTGAATTCATTCACTGCTCGTTACAACTTACGAATAGTATCTGCTGAGAATACACTACATCTGACAATCCAAGGTTCTCAGAAAAGAAATTTTGATATCTATTACTTTCACAGACTAAGCAAAACATCTGTTAGATAGCAGACTACTGGTAATTAAGACAAAAACAAACACAAAGTGGATAGCCATACATTTACAAAGTTTCGAAATTTCAATTGCCTTCTCAAGAATTCAATGTTAACTTCACGGAAAAGTATATTACATTTTTCTGCAGCATCATCGTGGTCCGGAG